TCCCCCCCACTGCTGCTGTTAAAGGTTAGTTATGGGCCCTGGGCAGGGGGGCTGGGGCCCTGTGGGGGATAGGAGCTATGGCCCTCTAGGGTGGAGCTGGGACCCTGGGTGGGGGGGCTCCAGGGTGCCTGGGACCCTGGGCAGGGGGGATAGGACCCTGTGGGGGATAGGGGCTGTGGCCCTTCAGGGGTGAGCTGGGACCCTGGGCGGCGGGGGGGCATTTCATATGGGGGCCAGGGGACCTACCCCACTCCTACCCACAGACCAACCCACATCCCCCCACACCCCTTATCATTCCCTTCCTACAAACACCACTTCCCCCCATCACGCACCCATCATGTATGAAGAAAACCAAAAGCACACATCAACACGTATAGGTATTTATAATTTATTTTTTCATGATGATAGAGACACTGGTAGGCTTCCAAATTGCTTTAACTTTGTAAATATACCAATAAAGCATTGCCCAACTTGTCTCTCTCTCTCTCTCTCTCTCTCTCTCTCTCTAGATATACGTGTGTGTGTATAGAGTGTTTTTTTTGTTTGTTTTAAATGTGTAAGATCATGGATTTTGTGGTATTTTAAAAAATGGATTTGGGATGCTGCTGCAGCAGTCCAGCTGGCGCAAGGGATAGTGTCCCCAGGTATCAATTGGCTGGGCCCCAGAAGCTCCAGAGAGTGAGTAGCCCCGAGCTGCTTGCCAGGACAGCTTTTTGTATGGATGGGGCCAGGACAGGGCAGCTTTTTATACTGCTGGGGACAGCACAGGTGCTGGCCCCAGGCTGTAGCTCCCCATGGCTGCAGATCCGGGAGGAGCCAGGCAGGGTTATTTTGCCCCAAGTAGCACAATTTGCTCCGCACCGAAGTGCATGTTCGAGCATGTGTGCTGAGGCAAAAAGCCCCGGCTCAAATGTGCACCGCTTCTATTTGAGCTGCTGCGAGTGCACGTGCTTGCATGTGTGGACACGCCCAGGGAGTCGAGCAGAATGGCTGTGAATATTCCTTGTAGTTCAAATTCAGTGTTAAGAATACAGCTTGAGTTACTGAGTTTTAAGCTCTTATCCATAAGGATAAGAATGACCGTAGGCTGCGGATCTATTACTATGGCTTTTAACCATAAAAGACCCCATGGTTTCTTCTATGCATTCTCTGAGAGAGGGTGGTGCCTAGTACATCTATGTACAGACTTAGTGCTATGTCATAAATATATTGTGAGATGATTGCTCTGTTTTTGCAGCTGTATCTTTCTTGGTCTGTACCACTCTCGTTCTGCTAGTTTATAGTCTGAGTGTATCTTCAGTGAACAGGCATGTAGTTATAATCAAGCAATGATAGGTAAGAGTATTCTATATTTCGTAAGTGCTGATTTTCAGTGAAATGTAAGCAGCTTCTATTTTTGTTTCTCATATGCAACATCTGTATTTCAAACTGTTTCAATGATTATATGATTTCGAAAATTCTGTGTTTTAAAAATCAGATATTTTTTTCTAACAGCCACACCTGACATTTCATTTGGTCTATTAGGTGGAAACAGATGTCACCTTTGTGCCTCCATAAAAATTATACTGGTGGCACAAAGTGAAAGAAATCAGACATCCATAATTTGTTGTGCTACAAGTGCTCACATTTGTGACCTTGATAGAAGGTAGTAATAAATTGGGCCACTTTATGGGGGTCTATGTCTGTTTACTTACGGCAGAAATGCTTGGGCAGCATGAAACTGCCTGAGCTCTCCAGCTTCTGTGGGGTAAGGGATCTGGTTCGTGGGCTTGATAGGCCCAGTTCTTTATACTCCAGGAATTCAGCACCCTCAAGCCTTGGAAGCACATTCCTTGCTTTTTCCACTTACCCAGATGTCTCTCTCCATGTGTGTTAAGTGTTGGTAAGATGAGCCTATAAAATCATATCTATGTTTTGGTACTGATTTGTAATCAGAGTGGAAGTAGAGCAACAGTCAAAATCTGAAAAAGTATTAGTTTTATTTCCATTGTCTAATTTTCATGGTCCTGATGTGCATATAATCACTAATTGGGGTGGATATGACCTGTTTTCCCTATATACCTTTTGTAAATGGACTGAAGTATTACAGTTAAGAAAAAAACACCCTGCTATCTAGATCCATATTCTCAGCTTTTTATGAATGATTAAACAAACCATATTCAGGACCTAGAATTTGGGGTTCTGCAGCATTATCACATGTTCATATTTACTTTATTTTTTCTTTCATTTATTTATTTATTTGCCTGTATGATAAGGTGTTTGTGCTTTATGGTTTGGAATTGCAATAATGATGTGGCAAGAAGGGCACACATCATTTATGCAAGCTTCTACAGTATATTTGTCAGTTCTGGAGTTTAACATGTATGTTCATATATTTTTAATTGTAAAGTATGAATAGCTATTTGGAAATGTGATTGGTACATGCAGCTTTTCATTTATTTGAGTAGTTTGATTAGCTTTTCATTGTTTTGACTTGGAGAACAGTTAGACTGGGTCTTAATTAGTTTTTCAGTTACCACGGTACTGGGACCAAAAGCATGTTCTAATCATTGAATATGCTAACAGAGCACTCTTGTGGAAATCTGAATCATGAAACTAGCCCACCAGCAGGGAATTTCTTGCCAGGTGTTAAAGCTTTCAACAATTACTAGCTAGAGAAATGTAATAGAATCACAAAAATAAATTGCCACTAATTCCCCTTTTCAGACGATTGAAAACTGAGGGCATGAAGGGTTAGAGGTAGAAAATACAAACACTACAACTCTAGGCCTTAGAGAATGTTAAGAGTTTGTTGGGCTTTATTTTTTTTTTTAACTGGTCAAAGATTATAGCAATTTTACAAAAATACATTTTTTTTGTAGTTTTCTTGACAAATATGATTTTTTAAAATTGTTTTTGACATTTCTAAATGGAAAATTTGTGCTTTTTTAGTGTATTATCTGGACATATTGGCAATTTCTTACAGTTTTTCACTGATATTTGACTGGTCCATTGAGCAAACCTTATTTGATTGGTCAAATACTCCACCCTACTTGGTAGTACTTGAAACAAATAATATATTTTAATTAACATTAGGATAAACTTATGATTAATACACAGTAAATGTTAGTACTACAGGGGATACCCATGGGTGTTAATGATATGATTTTCAGATGTGTTGAGTGACAGCAGTTTCCACTGAAGGTGGTGGGACTAGGAGGTATTCAGCAACTTTGAAAATAGTTAAGAAGATACTATATTACACATATATAATGTGCATTTGAACATTCAGGCTAGCTACAGACAGTCAAAAAGCCCAGTTGATTCAATCGTTGCAGGTTAGTCTAAACTGCACAGATTCAATTGAAACAGAAGTGAAGAGACATTTAACTTTGATTCAGGAAATGCAGCCACATGCCTGCAGTGGCTCAGGCCAGAAGGCAGGAGGTGCTAGAGCACAGCTTTTTAGCTGTGTGTTCACTTCCTCTTCCTGCTTCCCCTGAAGTCTCTGAGATTTATAGTTCACAATCACGGCAGCAGGACTCTGCAGGGTTGCTTATCACTTCCTCTTCCTGCTTCCAGGTGGTTCTGGGATTTGTAGTACACAGTTGCAGCAGGCAGTAATTCTGAGTGGGGGAAGAGATGTTTAATGCCCCCTTCCCCGGCCCTATACCCCAGCCCAAGTTTGCCTGGCGGGGCAGTGTCCCCTCCGTAGACTGAGCTGCATCCCCAGCTGGGCTTGCCCCCTACCCATCTCCCCTTGTCAGCCAACCCTCAATGCTCCAGCTAGGGAGCAGAGGGGTGGGGCCAGCCCTGCTCTCTGGAGCAGACAGCCCTTTGGCTGGAAAGCATGCTGGGATGAGGGTGGGGGGGCACTGTGATTTAACTTGAACCAGGAAGGGGCCTGGGACAGAAGTTTCATAAACTGGTTTGACACAAATCAGTTAACTCTGATACTACATTCAACCAGGTTTATCTTAAACCAGGTTTGGCCATTTTGAAGCTGGTTGATGTGCACTGAGCTTCTGTTCTGTTACAGGTTTAAACCAGTTTCTGATCACTTAAATCAGTTTACGTGTAACTTCTGTCCCTAGCCTCAAAGATTGTACAAGGTAAAGGAGGAAAAGTGTATAATTATGGGAAAGGGAGAGAGGGATCAGTCTTTTACATAAGTACTTTTTTTCAGTTTTGATATTGTGCAGGTTCTGTCCAATTACAAAAATTAAATCCTCTAGTGTTGATAATTGAAGCGTTTTCCCTTATGATTATGAAGAAGTCTTTGGATAACATGATGAACAAGTACTGTCAGTGTGATTAATACACTAAACATTGCAATTGAATTCTGTCCATCTAATTCTGTGTTTCATTCACTTTCATTCACAGTCACCTTTATAGCGACTCAAGACTACAAATTAATTTTGTGTAGCTGCCCTGCCTAATAGATGAATGCTTTGAATGTTCAGTACAACATTCGTACCAGCACTAACAAATCTGGGTGCTGTATCAAGGCTCAAGTCTGTTGATTCTTCACCTTTCAATTAAATCTATGGTCATAGAAAACTTGAAGAGTTCATATTCCCATTTTGAATTTGCTTATGACCATAAAATGGCAATAATTGAATCCAAACTCCATGGATTGGGGGTTTTTTTCCAAAGAGTTAACTCACTGAATTTAGAAACACTACAGTTATTTAGTAGTGTTTTATCTGTTGTGGCCTTATGTCAGAGAATGTTATAATTAAAAAATATTTGGGGGGGGGGATTCATTTTGAATAGTATACTTGTTCAAATACTGAATTATACCTGATGTATTCACTGTCATATTGCCTTCTTTTCTAGTGCAAAACACTTTCTGGCGTCTGTGACCACATTATCTCACTCTCCTCTGATCCTCTGGTTTCCCAGTCTGCGCACCTTGAAGTTATCCAGCTGACCAACATCAAACCAAGTGAAGGGCTGGTAAGAAGTACGCAGTTAATCAAAACCATCATCCAGGACAAGAAAGTTAATTCTGTAAATAAGAATTATAAATGGGGGAGCTGGTAGGCTACTCTTAAAAAGATGCAAATCAATTAATTTTCAAATAGCTAAGATAACTGGATTGCTATTTCACATGGTTATCTATTGTATAAAAATGTCAGGGAACAGTAGGAATGAAAGAGAAATACTCACCATTTATACCAACTTCTGAAATACTTTAGATTTTTCTAGGATCTGGAAATCTGGTGCAGATTTTAAATTAAAATAAATACACGCCAACATAAAGTTCGAGTAGGTTTATACATAAGGTTGTCAAGCTCTGGAATTTGTTTCATATATCTCCCTAAGAAATAAAGCAATTTTATAACTTATTCTACAGCACTTCCCAGGAGAGAAATAGGATATTAAATCTTATTAAAAGATCTCTGCATGCTTGAGTGAATGGTTGTAAAAGACCAATGTAAAATCTGAGTGCCACTCAAAAGTTGACCACTACTCCTTGACTTATGCAAGCGTTAACAACCACTGTATTAAGGAAAAAAACACTGTTAAAGATAGATATGCTGTTTTACATCACAAATAGTATTGCCACCTACCAAACTTTGGGCAACTAGAAGATGTCCAGAATATAATGAATTATTTTTTTAATCTAGAGAACTTGCTTATACAAGTTCTTTTATTATCTACACATATCTATGGTACATTTAATTGTGTGGAGATGTGTAATGCCACACTCCTACTTATTTGTTAGTTTTTTGTTTTGTTTTATTCAGGTTTTTTATCAGATTTGCCATGACAAGGTGTTTAGATAAATGATTTATTTGCTATATGTATCTTCAGGCAGTAGGAATTAAAATAAGAAATTTTATTTTGAAGTGGTGAATATTACCCCATCCTTTATTTTTTTCATTGGCTTCCATATAATCTCTAAATCCATTTAAAGTTGCCCCCCAGGTTTTTACATCCCCAGAGACCCTAGCCACACTACCAGTTTGACATCCTGTTATTTTACTTTGCTGCTTGCTTGCTCAAGTCTACCATTCTCTCCAGGAGAAATGAGTACTCTTTCTCTGTCTGTTGGTCTCTCGGTCGGTCTGTCTGTCTGTCTCTGTTCCTGCTTTCTAGAGCCCTTTCCACATCTTTGTCAAGCAGATGCTGTAAACAGTATTCTTTTCTTCTCTGCCCCATTACTGCACAGGGTTTTCCACCATTTTTCCTTAGTAAAGTCACTCTTCTTTCACAAGGCCAAAAGTGAGTGAGAGAAGCTTTTTTTTATAATATTTATTTATTTATTTAATATAGATGCATATTTCCTTTGTTTCCTTTTCCATTTCTGTCATTGATGTGGGAAAACATTTTCCCCTTCCTTGTGGGTCTGTTTTCCTTTTCAGTCTGTCTTGTTTATATCTTATAAGGAAGGGCACTTTCTGCTTATGTGTTTGCAGCACAATAGCATCATGATCTCAACTAGATCCACACAAAAAGTATTAACTGTAGGTGTACAAGGCTTAGCTTTGTAATACTTTATTACTGTTTCCTCCTTTCTGCCTTCCTTGTCCCCATTTCCCTGTTCTGTGTCACTTTGTCTAGACTGTAAGCTCTTTGGAGTAGGGACTGTGCGTTACGTTTTTCCGCTGTTGGATTCTCATGCAATTTTGGAGTCAGTAAAGTAGCAATCCTAGTATCTGATTATCTTTGTTAAATCATTTCTTACGTTCTTCATAAAGGATGTCATATTTTGTAAAGTTCATCTGTTTAATAATCAACAAACATGTTCTGATTTATTGTAATTAGCACTCAACCTAGAATTTATAATTGTCGATAGCTATGAGTGACTTCTTAAGGCCGATAAAGGATTCTGCATTGAGGACCTTTGATCACTCTGTTGGATAAGGAGCTTGATAACTTCTGGACTTAATCAGACCTTCTTTTAAGGCCTGTGCCATAACAGAAGTGGGAAGATTGTATTACTTTTGTAGTCTGGAAACATTCAAGAGTTCCGCACTTGTTACTTTGTTAAATGAATAAAGTGTTGAATATTACAAAACTGGAAGGACTGTCTCCCATCAGGATAACAAACAAACATGAATGGCTCATACCTTTGAGGATAGGATTGTCCACCAGTTAGCATGATATAAACATTTATAGTAGTTGAGGAGGATTTCTATAAGAAGTTAAGCTATTGGAAAGGAGGAGGAGGAAAGGGGAGAAGGAAAAAAAAGCAAGGAAATGAGGGTTATTTGAATTTCTGTGGGATGCTGTTCTTAGGATACAGCGGTTAGACAATGTATGTAGAATTGATTTGCCAAGGGTGCAAGATGAAGGAGGAAACATTTTTTTAAATTGAAATTTGGTGGATGAAAGAACTACAGTATTGTTTTTATGAATATACTTCCTAAATTATGCATACAAATGCTACTGAAATGTAATATTGATATATAAATTAAAAATATTAAACTGATTTAGTGTACTGTGAGCAAGGAAAAAGTTCCTGTGAATTTATACAGCACTGTACATTTATAGCACCACATAATCCTAGGAAAAAAGGGGTAGAAGGGACCTCAGGAGATCATCTAGTCTACCTCCCTGCTAAAGGCAGGATCTTCGTAGTCTAAGTCATTCCAGACAAGTGTTTGTCCTTCTCTTAAAAACCTCCAAGGATGGAGATTCCACAACCTCCCTAGGTAATCTGTTCCAATTCTTAGCCCCACTCAAAGTGAGAAAGTGCTTACTAATCAACCTGAATTTCCCTGGTTGCAATTTAAGGCAGTTAGTTACTTCTTTTCCTGGGCCCTGTAGCCACAGAGAATAATAGAATGTCACTATCCACTTATATCCATTCTTCAAGTATTAGAATAGAACACTTATCAAGTCCTACCTCTGTGTTCTTTTCTTTAAAATTGCCAGTTCTTCCAACCTTTCCTTGTAAATCATGTTTCTTAGATCTCTGATTTTTGTTGCTCTCCACTGGACTCTTTCTAGTTTGTCTCTGCCTTCTCTGAAGTTTGGTACCCAAAACAGTATTCAAGGTGAGAACCTATCTGTGCTGAATGGAGTTGAAGAACTACTCCCCTTGACTTCTAGGAGACACTCCTGTTAATACAACCCAGTAGGCTGTTTGCTTTTTTCCCCCCAACAAAAGCATGCTATCAGCTTGTATTCTGTTTACACTGCACTATTAAACCCCTACGTCCTTTTCTGGAAAAACAGAAAAAAATGTTGTATTTGTGGCATGATATGAGTAATTTTTTTTGATAATGGCTAGAACTTTGTGTACCATAGATTTTTCATTTCCCCAGGCTGGTGCTTGATTTTGGGTGCATAGCTGGGTGCATAAAAGCATTACCATGGCTGTGTTGCTGTAGGAAGCATATAAAAAGCAAAGGTGAAAATGGAATTGTTGAGTACGGATCTCTTCCAAAAAGCCCTCATGTCAATTAAAAGCAGATGCCTTTGCCACACATTTGCAGAAATATCCCTTTTGGGGAAAGGCTTTAAAGTTGATTCTTCTGTATCATTGGGCAGAATGAAATTTAGGGCTTCTTACTGGACTCTTACTTATATAGCAGTGACATAACATTGACTAGTTCAGTTGGTAATGTTTCATTCATAGGAAGCAGAATTGAAAACATAACAGTTTGTTGAGAAAAGTGGTCTCAGTGCTGTAAAGAACCAGAATATCACATGGATTTTTTTTCCAGAAGAAACGCAAGTAATTGGATTATAGCATGAACATTTTTCAAGCCTTTCTAAAGGTTTTCTTGCATGGTTTTATGTATAACTCTTTTATTTTAAAGGTTAATATGGCATCAAACTCAGATTCTTGAATATCCAGGAATAATGCAGAAATATCTATTGATTTCCAGATTTTATAGCTCAGTATTTCTTGTTAATGTGTCTTTCACTGTTCAAATATTGTTGAGTTAAACAAGTTACTGTGTGATTGAAGTCCTAGTTGTTCATACATGTCAGGGCTGTCCATTGGTGGCTTGCAGTGGGTTAACTTAAGGCATCCAGGATCCCTGAGATGCTGTTCTCCCAATCACTCGGGCTGCAGCAGCAGCCAGGAACTCTCGGCTCCACCTCTCTCCTCTGGCTTCTATTTCCTGCCCTAGCCTAGAGAGTGGTGCTGGGTAAGGCAGCGGGTGGCCCAAGGGTCCAAAGTTTGCATTGGAGTGGCCCATGGGGTGTACGGCCCCCAACTGTGTAGAAGTTGGACAGCCTTAATATAGGGTATCTCTTTTGTATAGATTTGGGAATTTTATAGGTTAGTCTTGCAGGTAATAGATGGGGTGCTCTTATTTCCTTTTTCTAGACAAAACTCAGAATTAGCTGTAGGAGCTCCACAGAAATCATGTGGAAAATAAATAGAACAGAGCAGAGTGCAGTAGTCTCAGTGGTGTAACTCCTGGAGGCTAGCTAGTAAATTTTTCTGAGAGTCCAGGTTTATTCATCCAAGTCTCATGACCTGAAGTATTGGATGGGGGGGAACTTCATGAAGAAGATGTTGGAAGCTGTACAACATTTGATGATCTTACCAAGGCGCATCTGATTGGAGAGTTGACTACATCATTTCTCGAGTTTGTTGTAGTGCATCAGAGGGGCCTATATGAACTGTTCTTGACAGCTGGGGGGAAAAGCTTTTGTCATATGATCTTTTCAGTTAAAAAACACCCAAAACAAAACAACCCTCCCCCCCCCCCCCCCCC